GAGATGGAGTTTCACTCTTGTTGCCCAGGCTGGATTGCAATGGTGCGATCTCGACTCACGGCAATCTCTGCCTCCTGGGTTCAAGTGATTTTCGTGCCTCAGGCTCCTGAGTAGCTGGGACTAGAGGCATGTGCCACCACACCTGGCTAATTTTTTTGTATTTTTAGTAGAGACGGGGTTTCTCCATGTTGGTCAGGCTGGTCTAGAGCTCCTGACCTCAGGTGATCCTCCCACCTCAGCCTCCTAAAGGGCTGGGATTACAGGTGTGAGCCACCACGCCCGGCAGTGCTGGGATTAAAAGCATGAACTGACTTGCTTTTCTGAGAAGAAATCTGCTTTCATCAGAATTGCTTTTCCCTATAGGCAAGGTGTTGATATTCTTTCATTGCTTCCAATTTTTTCCTTGTCTTTAGTTTTCAGAAGTTAAAGTATAATGTGTGTTGGCATGGAGTCTTTGAGATCTTCTATTTGTTTCTGAGGCTATTTTTCTTAATAACGTTGCAAGTACATTCATAATTGCTTATTGAAGCTTGTAAAAGTCTTTAAAATCTGCCAGGAAACTAACATCTCTGTCATCTTGGTGTTGGTTATCTGTTGATTGTCTTATTTAGTTTGAGATCCTCATGGTTAGTATGAGGAATTTTTTGTTGAAACTTGGACATTTTCATATTATATTATGAACCTCTAGATCTTATTTAAACCTTCTGTTTAGCTGACTTTCCCTAACACTGCTATGGCAGGAAGAATAGGGGTACCACCGCTGCCAAGTGGGGATGGAAGTTCAGGTTCCCAAGCCGGCCTCTGCCGGCACCTGCAGAGTGGCATAGACATTCTCATTACTGCCAAGCTGTGGTAGAAGTTCTCCGCACACTCTCCAGGGACACTGTGGTTTTGGAGTGGAAGTCCAGATTTCTTCTATGATCTCCAGTGACTGCAGCCAGGAGGGGAGGGGAGAGGGGAATGTACAGGGGCTCTTGTTGCTGGTCAGTGGGAATGGAAGTTTCAGCTTCTTACTTAGCCTCTGATTCTACCCTGGTTGGGGTGTGCGGTACCTCATTGTAGGCTTTTGGAGGTGGAAAGTCTACGCCTTCTACTCTGCCTTTGCTGCCGTAGGTGGGGCTGGGGCCACAAGTCTTTGGTGGTGTTTGACTGGAGTAGTTATTGTCTAAAAGCTCTGTCTTGCTAGGCTGCCGCTTTCTTGGTCCTTTCTTTGCCTAGAAAGAGCAAGCTTCTGTTGGGGCGGTTTTTGTTTGTTCAAATTCCAGGTTGCTGGCTCTTCAGCCCCAAGTCTGGACATTTGAAAGAGAAAGTAAATGCAGGGAACACACACCATATTTGAGTTCCTTAGTGGTTCTGTTGGCTTCTTTGCACCTTTCAGAGTCCTCCTGTGTTTGTGGTGTGTATAGTACCCAAGGGTTTTAGCTTTACTTAGCGGAAAAAATGCTGAAAAGTATGCTGCATCCTCCCAGAGGTGAGAGCCCAGCTGTCATTTTAAATTAACTCTTTTTTTAAATTGAGGTAATGGGTTTTGTGTTTATAATTTTGGCAGCTTTAAAAATAAGTAGTTTTTCTTTCTTTCTTTCTTTTCTTTCTTTCTTTCTTTCCTTTCTTTCCTTCCTTTTCTTCCCTTCCTTCCCTTCCTTCCTTCCCTCCTTCCCTCCTTCCCTCCTTCCCTCCTTCCCTCCTTCC